TATATATAAATCAATACAACAATAATGGAGTGAAAAGAAAATTCGATTTCCATCCAAAGCTAACCAATTTGCAGAGGCAAAACTAAGATAAAACAAGAACCATCTGCAGGGTGCAGCACAAAGTGTTGGGTTCAAAAGTGATTAGGATGTCATCCAGAATCTTAAAATTGTAAATCATATGATTGATAAATCAGATGACAAATAAAAACATACTAAAGACATTATTAATATTGTTTGGTCAAGCGATCTACATACTGAAAACTACTCCCTCCGTTTCAAAAAGGATGGTCTAGTTTGACTTGGAACGGAGTTTAAGAAAAGAAAGAAGAATTTTTAATCTTGTGGTTCTAAATCAAAGTTATGTCAAATATACCAATAATCTTGTGTCTTAAACATGTCGCGTGGAAAGTTAAAGAGTTGCCAAAAAAGGAAAGGGGTCATTCTTTTTTAAACAGATTAAAAAGAAAATAGAGTCATTCTTTTTTAAATGGAGAGGGTAATAAATAAATATGTTTAGGAGAAAATCTCTCCATAAACAAGATTCTTAAACGATTATATTGCGAATGATATTGTGTTATGTTATGAGATTAAGATCTTCAATTTATAAATCTCTAAACTTTTCCTATAAGGAAAAAAAACCAAAAATATGGAAAGCAAATAATGTTTTCCTTTTTAGAAAAAGTTAAAGCGTAGGTAGTACTTTATTTTTCCTTTTCTAAAAAAAATAAATTTCAAATAAAATAAAAAAACAAAATCACAACACATATAGAATATATATCTTTTTTTTCAAAGATAACTTCTTCATCATCTTCTTCTTTGAGTTTCACAAGAACAATAATCAACTCATCGTCATCCATTCGAACAACCCAGATTTGAATCTTATTATCCTTTTCGATTTCACACGGATATGCATTGTAGTGCAATTCCCATTCAATACTTAAAATACACTTATCTTAGATTTTTCCTTGTTTTTTATCCAATTTCTTTCATCTTCCATCTTCTCAATTCTAGTTCACCAATGTCAAGACACGGATCAATAATTCGAACTTTCTTGAAGTTCCTTTTGTTGCCATTACTATAGATACACAGATACTCTTCTTCATCATCTATTAGAAATTTCTCAACGATTTGTGTTGTTGGTATGGAGAGAGATTGTGACTTTCACTAGCATCCGTGTAATAATTTTTTTTCATTATCTAAATTTTACATCTCTTACCTTTTTCTCTAACTCGTTGATTCGATCATTTATATCATGGGGCATTGAAACGATTTTCTGTTTCCTCCTCTTTTTACCAACAATATAATTTTCTTCTTCTTCTTGAATTTCAGAAGCATGTTCACAAACAGCGGCCAATATATCGAGACGAGACGAATCGGGATGAACTTTCATATTTTCAATTGTGATATCTAACATCTTGAAATTATTAATGGGACTACCAATTTTGATATATGTAAGGAAAAAGGATTTCTTACAAACATATTTTTCACAAAATTGTTTGTTAACAAATTCAGTTCAAATTGAAATCAAATTAGAACTCACAGTTGTACAAGAAAAAGGAAACAGTTTAATCAACACTACAACAAAAGTAGGATTCAGTGGCAATTATTTAGCGGCAATAATATAATTGCGACGAAATAGTAATCTGAAGCTATTATTAGCGATAATTAACCTTAGGGCAACTTTCACATATAGCAAACAAAAAAATCATATTTGTATAATATAGCAAACTTTACATAATTGCGCTCCATAGCAAACATAAAAATTGTATAATTCGCTATACATATAAAAGTGTATAATTCGTTGGCCTAAATTGTATAATTCGCTGACCTAAATTGTATAATTCGCTGGCCTATTTCGCTGCAATTGTATAATTAGTTTTGCATACAGTTGAATTGAATTAAAATGTATGTATATTGCATAATTATAAGTGTATAGCAAGAAGATATATGTTTTTCTCGCTTTATACAAAAACAGAAACACAATATATACACTTCTGTTGTATAAAGCTAGAAAAAATTGTATTTCACTGCAATTGTATAATTCTTTGGCCTTTTTCTCTGCAATATTTGAAGTAAAATATTTGTAAATTATATAATTAAGTATATAACACGAAGATATACATTTTTGCATGTGTATATACAATTTTCTCTCGCTTTATACAAAACAGAAACAGAAATTATACACTTCTGTGTATAAAGCGAGAGAGGCGAGAATGGGAGAGTGGAGAGCGAGACTTCTGGGAGAGACACGCCTCAAATTTTTGTCAATATTTGCTATGGAGCACAATTAAATCAAACTCTAGCTATTCAATTTAATTTAGGTTATTAGTTTGTTATTTTATACAATTTTCCTTTTTAACTTTATGCCAGTAAAAAGTAAATAACAATTAGTTTTGAAAGACAATAGAAACTTTTACCCTAATTCTCTTAATCAATTTTTACTCAATTCTTAAATTTTTGGAAGTCACGATGGCTGCAATGGATTTGAGCTCTGAAGCCTCCGTTGATTTGAAGCTTCCTTCAATGGCTACTATGGATTTGAGATGAAGCACGCATCAATGTTTTCTTTCTGCTTGAACTGAAGTGCACTAAGAGGTAATATCTCTTTCTCTTTCTTTCCGCTCGATCTTTCTTTCTCGATCTCTCAATCTCTCATTCTAGTTGTCAATCCTCATTTTCTCTGTGATTTTTTATAAATGCTTACATGCATATGCTATCAACTTATAATTATGTTTTTTAGCTTTAATTTTCTTCTGATTTGGTTATAATTTTGTTTAAATTTGTTTATAAGTTAAACTTGAGTTTGATTAATTTGTGATTGATTCGAAAAGCTTCAACTGTAACTCATTTAGTAGGATTTTGATGTTAAACCTAAATGAACCCAACAAGGTGTTACGTACAGCTAGAAATTCTGCTTGTTGTAATGAACTAAAATCATCAAATTTACTGTAACACTGGATGACGGGGAAAGCTGACCATTTTTTATACCAAAAGGTATCTCGTGGGATTAGTCGAGGGTTTTCACTTTCCTCCAAGCATGAATGTACTTAAGCCTCTTATCACGCATCAACATTTGTTGTCTATAAACAGACTGGAATATTTGGATAAATTCCTCTGTGAAAGGATCCCCTGCAGCTCTGAAATTCTTCAGTTCCTCATAAAGTCTTAATGTATCTATTCCATTCAATCCCACTTTCCTCTTCAAATCGTTGAAGTGCTACAAGAATCAACAATTGACAACCCCGAGCTCGTTTTAGGCATTTCTCTAAAGCATCAAGGAAATCCGAACTTATTTCTAAATTCTGTTGCATATACGTTTCTTATATCATTGTGGTTGGAGATTGAACACACACACTCTCGCTCATTTGAGTTATAGGAGAACTTGGTTGTAAGAAAACAGTAGGTATGTGATGATTAGTGTTAGGAAACTCTGAAACCTGCATGTTGCTTGTTCCTTAAGGTGAATCCTGTGTAACTAAGTACTACTTCTCTTAATGCACTCTTTTGTGAAAAATCAGGTAAAGTGCTACTGGTAAGTTATAATTTGTTTGTTATATAAGTTAGTTTGACGTAAGATGTAATACGTAAAGCTGTTGAATGTCTTTTGGTAAGTAGTTTCCAATGTAGTCTCTATTGGTAAGCTTAGACATGGCTAAGACAAGCTTAAACACTATATCAAGAACTACTATGTTGATTATTTGATCTTTATGCTATTTTTTTTTTTTGTAATTGCAGAAAAATAAGGAATATCTTGAACAATCATGGAGAAGTCTTGAAAAAGAAAATGGATGGATTACAGTATAGTCAGTAAAGAGTATTTAGATGGAGTAGAAAATATTTGCGATTTAGAAGATGACAACAATGGTTGGGTAAGAGGTGGAGTTGATGGTATATAAATCGTTACGGACTGAAATTCAATTTCCTCCAATAGAAGGTGAGTGCACATCAACTATTTTGAAGCTACTGCAAGTTATTTTTTTTTCCAGCCAAGTTTCTGTTGTATAAGTTTACGCTATTTATTTTTGTGATTGTTTTAATGCATTATCTTAAATTAAAGTGCAAACCTCTGTTCTTTTCCACTATCACAAATATACTGAAAATCGCCCTCCATTTCGCATCTGTTAGAGGCCATGTTTTTGGGAGGAAGAATATCGGGATTATGTCAGGTATGTCTTTCTCCTAATCTATTTCCTTGTTATACTGAATTTTGAAGCTATTGCCAATAAATTTCCGCAAACAATTTGGTTAAAATATAGGTGAACACATTGAAATCATTAGATGAAACTTTCCCAATGCCACCTGAGGCTGAAGGGATATAGAAAAGTTCCTATCCTTGAGCTCATATTCTTGGTTACACATTTTTTAAAGACAGAACATAAATATCAGGATGCTCCTTAACCAAACTAATTAGCAAACAAAGGCATGAAAGTTTGCAGAACAGGGTTCATTCTGTTGCAACTGATTAAGGTCTAATATCATGGTACCCGACTCATTGTGCCAACAAAAAATGTTGAATAAACATAAGGATACTTAGAAGCAGCAAGAGTATCACTAGAAGAAATAGCTTATGTGTCAACTGTCAAGGATTAAGATTGGTACTAGTACTAAGAGAATTTAGAATTGCACATTCAGACAGAAGCTGGTAAAAGCCTATACTTTTTCACCCTTTTTACCAAGGCATCTCCTTTGTTGTCTAGTTTCACTCCTCGGGTAAGTAAATGTATCATTAAGCTAACATATGCTTGGAACTGAAGAGTATTGTAAGTGTCCTCTTCTTTTTCTTGTTTCTTTTCTGAGATGAGGTAATGGGTACAAATCAGATTCTTTGTTATGATCAAAAACATATATTTGATTGAATTATCGATCATGACATCTACATCTTGGGTTCTATTTTATACATTGTTATTTGGTCATGTATTCTATTAGTGCAGTTTTTTAATTAGGAGGAGAATAAGTGAATAAGCTAGTACACCTACTTTTCGAAAGGGGTTTAGAGTACTAAAATAATAATTAGCAAGAAAGTTGTAATTGAACGGACAAAACAGAAAGGTATGTCCCCAAAATTCATGTTGCACATTCCATAATCTATATGTTTCTAAATTTTAGTTTCACCGATTTGATTAGGGAAATAAAATTTCACCTATAGAAGTACCATGAACTACTGTATAGAAATGTTCTTTTTCTTCTAAATATAACTAGTCTTTGTTATTTGGAATATATTTTGAATTGTTTGTAGATGTGAGATTCGATAATAGTCTAGTACATTTCTAAGGTTTCAAGGAGATGATTCTAGAATTTTCAATTTATTATGATATACTTGATGTGTCATTATTCACATATGGTCCTATTAAGTCAATGGTGTGGAATGGTTCAGGACTTAAATTACAATAGGGACAATACATTATTCGGTACCTATTGCTAGTGTTAGGTAGCAGATAGATGGTGCAATGTTTGAGGTTGATCTCGCGGAACTCACTGTGTAATTAGATGCCTATAAGAAGAAAGGGAACAAAGTATAAGTAAAATACATACGATGGTGGGAACATAAGAGGAAGTTTGATTAAGCAGGTTGACAAAAGACATTGGGTAGACAGTGCATTGTAAGCTAGCAATGAGATGAGGAAAAGAGATATAAATTGAATAAGTGTAGACAACTTAGATCAATGGTTCCAAGGTTCAATAATATATGGTTACAACTTTCATGTATTATTGTACTTGCTACGCGGAAGTGAATCCTCTCTCCAGCTACACCGAAACATAATAAGAGAAGTCACTGGTTTTTACGGTTTGGATTCTTGAGAAGGAGCAACACCGAAACATAATCAGAGAAGCTATTGGTTTTTCCAGCCAAGTTTCTATTAGTTTTTCTCAAGCTTACACTTTATTTTCGTGATTGTTTTAATTTGTTATCTTAAAGTTGCTTTTGATAATATTGTAGTGGGATGTGGAAACCTCCCTTCTTTAACACTATCACAGATATACTGAAAACCTCCCTCCTCTTTGCATCTGTTATAGGCCATGTTTCTGGGAGGAACATTGAGATTATATCAGGTATCTTTTTCTCCAAATCTATTTCCTCATTATACTGAATTTTGAAGCTATTGCCTTAGGTAATGTTACATTGTAGTCCTTCTAGGTAACACTAGGTGACTAGTCCAATGGTAGTAGAATAATTTGGAAGATGAAATTGCAGACATTTATAGCATACTCATGCTGATACTCATGCCAATATTCTGCTCATATAAAATACAAATGTTGACTTTCTGCTTATACATGGAGCATTACATGTTTGAGTTACTATATTTGGACAAGATGGTAAGGTCTTCCTTATCGTTCTTGCATAATTGATTTATTAGATGTTGTTGTTCCAACCAAGTTGGACAAGTTGGCATAGACTTCCTTCATATTTGGGCGTTCATTTGGATCCTCATTCAAGCATTTTTACTGCTAAGTCTGTGATCTTATTAGCAAGCTCATCATTATCTTGCAAAATTGATTTATCCACTATTGATCTTTTTTTTTCTCCTTGGAGCTGCTTCATAATCTAGTGGTGGGTTGCCATTTTCTTCTCTATTTCGTCAAATTTTATTAGTCACCTGGTCTTAGTGAGTAAGATATGTAATTGTCATATCAACTTGTCGTCATCTAACCATCTGTCGCTATATGTGTACAGTGGTATACTCATTCAAATGGTGAGCTTGTTCAAGGAATGACTGACTGATCCAGGAAGCTGCACATTTTGCATTAGGGGAAAAATAGTGGCTTTATTGCCTTGTTTTCTCTGTTGTTGAACATATTTTTTCTATTTTTATAATTCTTAGTTTCTTTTACCGCTAACAAGATAAGAAAGTGAATGTAATAAAGATTGTTTGATTTTTATTTTAAGTGAATGACATTGTTTTGAGTTTGGTAATTCTTTTTTATTACCTTCGGAATTTGATTTGAGTTTTTGTGGGTTAGTTACAAATGGCTATGGTCATCCCTATTTATACTATTGTAGAAATGCCTCTAGAAATTATCCTAAACACATCTAAAAAAAATGTAGATATTCTTACCTTCTAAGATTCTTGATTATTCTATATTTTATTATAAATATCTAATTATCTAGAAAATCTAGTATTTTCTTACGTATAAATATCAAAGATATTTACTCTACCAAATTCTCAAAAGTTCTACTAGATATCTAAAATATTTTTTGTACCTCAAAATATTATCTTTAGTTTTCACACTTTTACTTAAAGTGATTTTTTTGGAAAGAAAAAATAGTTAAATGCCCCCTCAATCCTATACAGGGTTCTATAACTTCTGAACTATTTAAAAATGGAATAATTACTTCCCTAAAAGGTCATCGCCAGTTTTATGTCAAGGCAGTGCAGAGCACGCAATAAAAAAAATTGCACGTTCATTTTTTTCTGTAAATAATAAGCCTAATCAAATAATAATTTAAAAATCAACTATGTAAAGTTTCTATTTTTAGCAAATTTGAATTGAAATTTACATAAAATGCCTTCAAATAGAAACAATAATTCACAAATGTAGGAGAGATTTTTTTTTATAAGAATGAAACTAGAAAGTGAATTCAGATTCACTGTTGTCAGTTTATTGTGGTTTAACTTCTTTTTATTATCTTTTTTTTTTGGTGAAATTATGAGAGATTTAAGAAAAAACTTGAACTACTCAATGTTTTTTGCTTTATATATGAAAGTTTTTAATCAGTGAGGTGATTGTTTTTATAAAAAACGGTTGATGTATGATTAACTACACATAATTCAGTAGCTACAAACTGATTTGGAGCTCCTAAAGATGATCTCGAATGAGAGACTGTCACATAGACTATTTAATTCAATTTTAGTTATTTATGTCTTTTTATTGAAACCTTACGCACCTACAAGAGGTGTATTCACCTAAACAAATTTGTTTGACGACGAAATGATTCTAAAAAAGGTTGTGAAAAATCAATGAGTGCGATAAACATGAAGGATGTTCCCTGCCATCCCATTTAAATTGAACATGAAGTGTATTTTTAACTTATAAATCTTCAATTTCGCTGATATTCTATCCAACCATAATTCATATTCAAAGATATTTAAGTTTGAATTAACAATCATATATATATATATATATATATATATATATATATATATTCCCCATTTAAATTGAACATGAATTGTATTTTTAACTTACAAATCTTCAATTTCGCTAAAATTCTATCCAACTATAATTCATATTCGAACATATTTAAGTTTGAATTAACATCATCACATATATATATATATATATATATATATATAGGTTACGACTCTTTTGGTCGTTTTCAGCACTATAATTTTTTATGTCAGAAAATACTTTCAGATAGATTTAAATGAGTGTTTTGAACTATTCATAATTATAATTATGAAATTAGTGGGATAATTTTAATAATTTATTTAGTTGATGATTAAAGAAAATAACATTAAAATTAACAAGGATCACTTTTACTATTTTTATTATTAGTCTTATATAATAATTAGAGAGTAAATATTTTATAGGAAGAATAAGGGTTTCAAACAAGAAAGAAATACGTGCGGCTACATCAAAATCAAGTGTGAGTACTCGTTATTATCCTTTGATCTGCCACTACCATTCGTAATAAATGCCATGCTACAGGCAATGTACAGAACTTTGTTGGAATATATTTGAATAGATATATGTTTGACTAATCTGTCTATTTCCTTTTCAATGCATTTAATGAGTTTCTTTTTTCTTTTTTTTTAGTCCATACTATTTTTATATTTAATTTCTAATTATCCTAACTTATGTTATGTGGATTACCAGAACCTTTGTTGTTGTCTAGCAATGAACGAATTGATACTGCTCCCTCTTTCTTTTATTTTCTAATGCTTTTAGGGGTCATTTAGTTTGAGGATTTAAAGGATGAATCTCAATAATATAATATTATAATGGTATTGTTGAAATTGAGAAAGAGATGGGCTACTTCTATAATGTATTTAGGGTAAGGTACTGGTTTCGCAAATCAGTGATTTCTGAGTTCGAACAGTTCCTATTACTTAATTATTATTTATTGTTGCTAGTATATGTAGGTATAAGAAGACATAACATATATATTTATAAACCTAATATAAAATTAAATATGGAAATAAATTCAATAACTATCTAATGATTACCTAAAGATTATTACAGAAGTCATGTGTTGATGTAGGGGGAAATTTGGATGCAATAAGTTTTTACATATTTCATATATGCATGTGTTATAGTCACATGCAATGGGTCTCGCTATTTGTCCGTAGCCGCTGGTTTGTGACCAGTGGCTTCCATCTTTATACATTGAAATATTTTATTCCCACATTATATACTAGATCCTAAATATATTGAGATAGGTAATTAAATATTAGGTGTATTGAATTACTTAAATTTCATCAAAGTTGTGCTAATTGGAGGAATTAAGACTTACCCTTAGGTTTAAACTTTAAGAGATTGATTGTAGAATTAGCTGAATTGAAAGGGTATAGGCTAGACACATAATAATCAGAGTGTTTCTGGTCTTGTGAACTTACACCTTATGTATATATATCTTTGATAGATTGGAAGGATTCGGAGGCAATAAGGAAAGGAAATACATTGGACAAGTAGTTGCTTGACTTCGATTCTTCAGTAAAGGTAGGTTATGGTTTATTTCTATTTTATAGATAAACTCTAAATAGCGATTGATATGTATTGAGTGATATTGTAGAGTCTCTTATATACTTGATTGTGTGGTTTGTGGTTGACCTAAAATTATGAGAGTGTTGAATTTCTAATCTTGAACCCTCTCTATTAAAATGATGCCTTGAATAAAGAAGGCTTGCTGAAATAAACTAATGAGATAATTGGAACAGAGTGTCACGTTTCGACACGGTATTTGGGATCGGAGTGTCACGTTCCGACATGGTATTATGGGATCAGAGTGTCACGTTCCAACACAATAACATTAAAGGCAAGAAATCTTGAAGTAACTTAATATACTTAATCTCAAGAAACCTATTTTCCAAATGAGTATGGTGTGGAGGCATGAGTCCTCACAGGTGTGCTTGATGTTGTGATTGATGGTGTACCTATTATGGTGATGTTGTTGTCAATGGTTCATGTGTTTGTTGCTTGCCACCTGTTAGGTATAGTAGTTGATTTTATATTATTATTCAATATATATTGATTTCTATTTTGAGTTGACCGATGATACCTACTCAGTACGTGTTCCTTGTACTAACCCCTACTTGTATTTTTCTTCTCTATTCTTTTGTGGAGTGCAGCAAGTGTACCACCGACTTCGACTCGCCCTCAGCTCTAATCAGTCTCCAGTACATCAGAGTTCAGGGTGAGCTATTATTCCTAGCTCGTGCTGGATTTTCTCATTCACGTCTTGATGTCTTTGAATTTCGTACATGGACCATCTTTTTACTTATTTTAGTTTCTTAACTACTCTTAGACTTGGTAATTTGCGGATAGATGTTCTTGATGTGATGACTTCCAGATTTTGGGGGTAATAAGTGTTAAACTTTAGAATCTTACTTAATTGGTTACATTAATATGTTTTGGATCTTCCGCATTATTTTTGTTATTCATAATGTTGGGGTTTATAATTGTTGGTTCGCTCACTTAGTAGGTTAAGTGTGGATGCCACTCACGACTCGCTTTGGGTCATGACAATATATATATTCCCATTTAAATTGAGCATGAATTGTATTTTTAACTTACAAATTTTCAATTTCGCAAATATTCTATCCAACCATAATTCATATTCAAACATATTTAAGTTTGAATTAACATTATTATATATATATATATATAGTCATGGCAAGCTAATCAATACCACAATAATGGATTGAAAAGAAAATTTGATTTCCATCCAAAGCTAACCAATTTGCAAGAGGCAAAACTAAGATAAAACAAGAACTCTGCAAGGCGCAGCACGAAGTGTTGAGTTCAAAAGTGATTAGGACGTCATGCAGAAGCTTACAATTGCAAATCATATGATTGATAAATCAGAGTACAAATAAAAACATACTAAAGACATTATTAATATTGTTTGGTCAAGCGATATACATATTGAAAATTAATAAATAAATATGTTTAGGATAAAATATCTCCATAAACAAGATTCCTAAACGATTATATTGTGAATGATACTGTGTTATGTTATGAGATTAGGATCTTCAATATATAAATCTCTAAATTTTTCCTCGAGGAAAAAAAAACAAAAATATGGAAAGACAATAATGTTTTCCTTTTTAGAAAAATTTAAAGCATAGGCAGTAGTTTTTTTTTTCTTTTTTTAGAAGAATAAACTTCAAATAAAGTAAGAAAATCAGGTAAAACCCTAACATATATATCTATATACATCTTTTTTTCAAAGCTAACTTCTTCATTATCTTCTTCTTTTACTGTTACGTGAGCTTCACAAGAACAATAATCAACTCATCGTCATCCATTCGAACAGTCCAGATTTGAATCTTATTATCCTTTTCGATTTCATTATGGTTACGCATTGTAGTCCAATTCCCATTCAATACATAACATACACACATCTTAGATTTTTCCTTGTTTTTTATCCAATTTCTCCATCTCCCATCTTCTCAATTCTAGTTCACCAATGTCAAGGCACGGATCAATAACTCGAACTTTCTTGAAGCTCTTTTTGTTGCCACTACTACACATACACAGATACTCTTCTTCTTCATCTGTTAGAAATTTCTCAACAATTTGTGTTGTTGGTATGGAGAGACGATTGTGACTTTCACTAGCATCCGTGTAATATATTTTTTTTCCATTATAAATTTTACCTCTCTTACCTTTTTCTTTAACACGTTGATTCGATCATTTATATCATGGGGCATTGAAACGATTTTCTGTTTCCTCATCTTTTTACCAACAATATAA